CTTGTGAGCAACACTTGTCCTTCACTGCTATAGTGTGCCATTCCTTGCTACTGGAAACTTCTGCCATCCGCCTCGCCCGGGTTCTACTTGTAAGGTCCTTCTATGACGATCTTCTTGCCTTCTCTTAGAACTCCCGGCATGAAGATCTTTCAGATGCCCTTGAGAGAAGGTCCTTTTGAGATCTTGGTGAAACCATCTGCGGGGTCCTTTTCTGAAGATTCGACCAGATGCGCCCCTTTCTCAACATTGTCTGGGGCCCAATAGGGGATAGAAGTTGGAGGCCGATCATCTGTGGGTCTTTTCGGGAGTGCTGCGGGAAAAGGCCGCCAGCCATCGGACCAAAGCTGCCACATAAACTGGGAGGCTTGGATGTTCATTGCTGCCATCGTTGCTTTCAAGCCGTGCAAAAGTAATCCGCATAGGGCCTGCCTCACCAAGGTACATTGGAGCACAAAGCACCTTTCTCGCCTTGGCGCCTGCGATAGCGCCGGCATTGCTGGCCAGCGTCACATCAGTGCCTGAGGGCCCTGAGTGCACCACAGCTTCAAGATTTTCATTGAGGAAGGCATAAAGGGTGCCCCCAAATTTTACCGATTTGTTTTCAAGACGGCTTTATTGTCCACAGAACACCGCAATTGGGGGCACTGAGGCCTTAGTTTGGGGCAATTCTGGTTTTGCGGGATCTTTGGCCTGGCGAGTGTGCCTGTCATAGGAACCTCACTCAGCAAGTCATCAGAATCATTTCATCAACCGCAGCTTGTATTGCACAACCAACGTCCACAATGTGGTACGCGCATTTGCTCAGTGCGCATATGAGTTTGTATCCGTTTCTCCAGGTGCATTTGCTCAGTGCGAGATGGTGCCTCGGTTGTGCACGCGAAAACCAACTCAGTTGCGCACGCGAAAAGCTACTCAGTTATGCACGCCGATGATGATGATGATGATGATGGCGATGATGATGATGATGATGATGCCGATGATGATCATGATAATGATGATGTTGTTGATGATGATAATGATAACTATTGTTATGTTATTATTTTGATGGCGATGATGATGATGATGGCAGGGGTGATGATGGTGATGATGATGATGGTGATGATGGTGACAATGATTATGGTACTGATGGTGGTGATGCTGCTGATGATGATGATGACGGTGATGATGATGATGATGATGATGATGCTGGTGATGATGATGATGATGATGATGGTGATGATGATGATGGTGATCATGATGATGGTGACGGTGATGTTGATGATAGTGATGATGATGATGATGATGACGATGATGATCATGATAATGATGATGTTGTTGGTGATGAAAACGATAACTATTGTTTTTTGATTGCGATGATGATGATGGTGGTGGTGGTGATGATGGTGATTGATGATATGGTGTGATGGTGGCCAATGGATTTGTAATGATGGTGGTGATGGGCTGATGATGATGAATGACGGTTATGATAAATGATAGTGATGATATGAGAATGATACGATGATGACATGATATGATGATGTTGTTGATGATGATAACGATAACTATGTTGTTTGATTGCGAAGATGATGCTATGATGATTGTGGTTGGATGATGATAATGATGGTGATGATGGTGACAATGATTTATGGTAATGATTGTGTGAATGCTGATGATGCTGATGATGATGATATGAATGCGATGATGAGCTTGCATGTGTAATGATGAGTGGATGCCTATTAAATGATGATGATGATGATGCGTTGATGATTGATAAGAATACTATTGTTTATATTTGATGGCGATGATGATGAGATGATGTTGTTTGATGCTGATGAGGGTGGTGTGCTATGATGGATGGTTATGAGTGATGATGATGGTGATGATGGTGACAATGATTATGGTACTGATGGTGGTGATGCTGCTGATGATGATGATGACGGTGATGGTGATGATGATGATGATGATGATGATGATGCTGGTGATGATGATGATGATGATGATGGTGATGATGATGATGATGGTGATCATGGTGATGGTGACGGTGATGTTGATGATAGTGATGATGATGATGATGATGATGACGATGATGATCATGATAATGATGATGATGATGTTGTTGGTGATGAAAACGATAACTATTGTTTTTTGATTGCGATGATGATGATGGTGGTGGTGGTGATGATGGTGATGATGATGATGGTGATGATGGTGGCAATGATTATGGTAATGATGGTGGTGATGCTGATGATGATGATGATGATGACGGTGATGATGATGATAGTGATGATGATGATGATGACGATGATGATCATGATAATCATGATGTTGTTGATGATGATAACGATAACTATTGTTGTTTGATTGCGATGATGATGATGATGATGATGATGGTGGTGGTGGTGATGGTGATGATGATGATGATGATGGTGATGATGGTGACAATGATTATGGTAATGATTGTGGTGATGCTGATGATGACGGTGATGATGATGATGATGATGACGATGATGATGATGTTGATGATGATGATGCCGATGATGATGATGATGATGATGACGATGATGATGATGATGCTGTTGATGATGATAATGATAACTATTGTTTATATTTTGATGGCGATGATGATGATGATGTTGTTGATGATGATGATGGTGGTGGCGATGATGATGGTGATGATGATGCTGATGGTGATGATGGTGACAATGATTATGGCAATGATGGTGGTGATGCTGCTGATGATGATGATGATGGTGATGACGATGATGATGATGATGGTGATGATGATGATGATGATGACCATGATGAGTCGAAGGAAGCGGAGTAGCGGTTGTGTCCCTATAGTGAAGTTGAAGAAAGGTTGTGGCTAGTAGATCCTACCCTTTTCTTCCTTAGCCCCACCACGCCAAGGTTGAAGTGTGATGGTAAGTTGAAGGAAGTCGAGTAGTAGTTGCGTCCCTATAATGAAGTTGAAGAAACGTTGTGGCTGGTAGATCCTGCTTAGATGGGCTGTGGGGTTACTAACTGGTTAAGTGAGTTAGGTTGCAAAGTAAGATGAATACTAACTAGTTAGACTGGAAATTGCATACAATCAGTTAAGTACAACTGGTGAGATAACTAGTTACAAATTGTTTGGCTGTGCTTGTTTTCATGAATATTTTCATATATATGTAAGTATTCATGCACATCAAAATGCCGAAGAATAACCACGATCGTGGTTCTTTGCGTTCAAGCCAGCAAAGGCTACACGCTTACAAGCTTCTTGAAGGTTGAGCCCAGAATGGCTAATGTCTTTTTGACATGTGACAAGCAAAAACAGGTTTGAGCCATCAAAGGCTTCTGTTGATATTTGCGGTCAGCACCAGCTTGAGCAGCGTATATCATACCAGTAGTACCGCACAAGGCGGTGGCGGAAGTTTCAAAAATGGAAAACCTATAGGAGAGGTGAGTTGGTGTGGCACAAAAATGGCAGAGCGAACCCACTGATGGATTGAAAGGTGGTTGAGTGTTTCTGCCTTTCTGTCTCTCTTTTTCTCTTTCTCTTTGTGTCTCTCTTTCGCCATCTATCTACAGAGTTACCTTTCTAGCCATCTACCTATCTACCTGTCTATTCATGTAGCTATCTTCGATTTGTTTATTCACCTAACTATTAAACTCTCCATCTTTCTGTCTATCCAGCCATTCATCCATCCACTTGCTTCTCCGTGTTAGTTTTTTTCCGTCCATATCTTCATCGATCCATGTCCACAGCTATCCATCACCATGTTCTTCGTTCTGTTTCTCTATCGATTCATGCATGCATCTGTCCGTCTACCTCTTCTTCCAGTTTTCCGTACATCTACTAGCTACCCATGCGTTTATTGGGTCAACGACGCTTCTAGCAATCTTTCGATCTAGCGATCTATGTGTCCATCTCTCGATCCATCTACCTGTCTATTGATCGATCTGTCTCTCTATCTAGCCACCCATCTTTCGACTTATCTCTCGATGTATTTATGGATCTTGCGATGCATCGATCTGTCTATGTATCCATCGATCTATTTACCCGTCTATCTATCGATTTAGCTATCAAATCCCATTGCACCTATCCCCTGTTGTGCTTCAAAAACCGATGCCTGCCAGAGCTCCCACTGCGTTATTTTCCTTCGTCGGCCTACGGTTGCACGATCGGTGTCGGAGACAAAACGGATGCAAAACACAGACGCGACACGGATGGGTCAGAAAAAACACCATCATTCCAGCTTTCCAACGACAACACTGGTAACATCGAGAGCGCGGCCAGAAAAGACACACGCTCTATTGAAAGCGAAAACCGTCTATCTATGTATCTATCTATCTATCTATCTATCTATCCATCTAGCCATCTAGCCATCTTTCTATCTATCTATCTATTTATCTGTCTATCTATCTATCTATCTGCAAAATCAAAAACAAAGAAATTCTGCGAGACCTCCGTCATGTTTGAACATAAGAACGTCCAAAACGGAGACGTCTTCATTTTCGGAACTTGACAACATCCGAAACGAAGCAATTCTGAAGTGCAAGACATCAAAAACGAAGAATTCTGCGAGACGTCCTTCAAAAATGGAAAGTTGAGTGCAGAGCTGACAGCCTCGTACCAATGCGCTTTGCGATTTTTCCAGTCCACCTGTCTAAAGTACTGCGCGTGGCAGGGAAAATTGATGCCAGGTCATACGAAGTGCTGCACCTGTCACGCAAAATCATCTTAGCAAACCTGCACATCTGATACTCCAAAATGCAACCCGTCTCAAGAAATCAGCGCCCTGACCTCTTAACATCTCTCATGAACATGGCTTTTGTACTGCGCCTGCCACGGAAAATGCATCTTTGCAGATCCTCTTCAAATGTCCCATGCTTGCCATCGTTTTTGGAAATGCCACAAAACCCTCACGTTTTGCTCACTTTTGAAGAGGTGCACAATCCCTTGCGCCTGCCACGCGAAACGACATCTGAACCTCCAAAAGTGGCGCGAACATGTGGTGTTTTGTGCAGTTTTGCTTCGCGCCACAACGGCGTGCACTTTTTCGACATCGCAACTTCCAAAAGTGGTCCGAACCTTGTGTGTTTTGTACATTTTGACTTGGAAATGTGCTTCGTGCCACAACGGCGTGCACTTTTTCGACATCGCAACTTCCAAAAGTCGTCCGGACCCGGTGTGTTTTGTACATTTTGACTTGGAAATGTGCTTCGCGCCACAACGGCGTGCACTTTTTCGACATCGCAACTTCCAAAAGTGGTCCGACAATGGTGCGTTTTGTACATTTTGACTTCGAAATGTGCTTTGCGCCACAGCGGCGTGCAATTTTTCATCTTTCATATGGCCAGCTGGCTCCGCACCCGCAACTTTAGCAAGCCTACTTTTCGACCCTCCGGAGCCACAAATCATTGGAAAAACACAGTGCTTCGCGACTTTCCTACCTTTTCTTTCGCGCACCTGTATCTTCTTTCTTCTGACTCTTTCTCTTCTACTCTTCTTTCTTCTAATCTTTCTCTTCTCTCTGCCTCTTCCCTGCTCTGCTTTTCATCTGTCCATATT